ATTATATATATACATATATATATATATATATATATATATATATATATATATATATATATATATATATATATATATATGTATATATATATATATATATATATATATATATATATATATATATATATATATATATATATATATATATATATATATATATATATATGTATGTATGTGTACATATATGTATGTGTATATATAAAACCTATAATAAATAATACATAATATATATATGTATATATGTATATATATATATGTAGATATATTTATATTTATATATATATTTAGGTACATTTATACATATATACATATATATATATATATATATAAATATATATATATATATATATATATATATATATATATATATATATATATTCATATATATATATATATATATATATATATATATATATATATATATATATATATATATATATATATATATATATATTTACATCTATATATGTATGTACATGTATTTGGCTAGTTTCGATTATATCTTCATCAGAAATACATTGTATTTCTGACGAAGATATAATCGAAACCGGTCAAATACATCTCTTGTATTGTGAAGATATTCATTCTCATTCATACCTTTACTATATATATATAGAATATATATATATATATATATATATATATATATATATATATATATATATATATATATATATATATATATATAAAATATATACATACACATATTTAAATATATATATATATACATATATACATATATATATATATAAATATATAAATATACATATATATATATATATATATATATATATATATATATATATATATATATATATATATATATATATATATAATATATATCATATATATCATAATATATATATATATATATATATATATATATATATATATATATATATAATATATATAATATATATATATCATAAATATATATATTATATATATATATATATATATATATATATATATATATATATATATATATATATATATATACATATATATATACATATATATATATATATCATAATATATATATATATATGATTATATATATATATATATATATATATATATATATATATATATATATATATATATATATATATATACATATATATATACATATATATATATATATATGATAATATATATATATATATATATATATGATTATATATATATATATATATATATATATATATATATATATATTATATATATATATATATATATATATATATATATATATATATATATATATATATATATATATAAACAAATATATATATATGTATATATATGTATATATATGTATATATATACATATATATATATTTATATATATATATATATATATATATATATATATATATATATATATATATATATATATATATATATATATATATACATATATATAATATACATATATATATATATATATATATATATATATATATATATATATATATATATATATATATATATATATATATATATACATAAATATATATATATATATATATATATATATATATATATATATATATATATATATACATATATATATATATATATATATATACATATATACATATATACATATATATATATATATATATATATATATATATATATATATATATATATACATATATATATATATATATATATATATATATATATATATATATATATATATATATATACATATATACATATATATATATATATATATATATATATATATATATATATATATATATATATATATATATATATATATATATATATATATACATATATATACATATATACATATATATATATATATATATATATATATATATATATATATATATATATATATATATATATATATATATATAAATAAATATTTATATATATATATGTGTGTGTGTGAATAATTCAGCTCTTCTATGATTCAAAGGGTTAGAGTCTAAACACATGTGAAGATAATTTGTTTATTGTTTCACTTCAACATTATATTACTGAGAGAAGCAGCAGTATCATGAAAGATGAAAACTACACAGGAAAATCAAACTTCTATTAATCCACAGACAAAAAAAAACAAACGCTCAACACTCATAATTATGTGTTCGGAATTTAATATCAATTGTAACCAAGAAAAGCTAACAACACCAAAACTGTACTGAAATGCAAATATTTTTAAAAAGGCAGGAATTTCCTGAAAAAACAAACAAATAATAAATAAATTGTCACAAGAACCAAGGTTGGTTCGTTTCTAACAATACTGAAACTTTTAACAATGCCAAAATTCCTATAGGAATAGAACCAAATCTTTCTTGAAATTGATTATCTCCTCCAAAGAATACATTACAACTGATTCACTATACCATAAATACTTAAGCGAAACAAGAAGACATCCATGACCCTTAACCCATTCGCCACGGATTTATGTTCGGTCCCCTGTAGTTTTTGGTGAATTTTGTTACATACAGATGGCTCCACATGTGCTCAGCCGGCAAGGAGTTTATCAGTAGGCCCTAGTTACTGACCCTGATTTTCCCATTTATTGAACTGGCGGGAAAAATAATACCATTGCTATCGATACTGTTATTATTGTTATTGATGTTGTGCTTATTGAATTGTCATTAGAATATTTTAGACAATGAAATGATACAAAAAAAAACTTTCCTAAAGTGAAGGAAAAGGGTAAACAGGTGAAATAGGTAGTTTTTGATAACTGGCTATTTGGTGATTAAAAACTTGTGGAGCCATCTATGTGTAAATACAATAAATAAATGTGTATCGAAGTGGGTATGGCATCTATTCTTGCCATATGTGGCGAATGGGTTAACTCAGCCCTCAGACACGAAGACTCAGTCAGCTCGTCTGAACCTCGGCTATTAACCCATTGCCACAGGGGATGGCATGTACGTACATGCCATGCCCACTGTGAGTCGACTTGATCGATTGTTTTTACACATAGATGGCTACACTTGTACTAGGTATCCAGTGAGCCAATTACGAGTACTGCCTGTCTCGCCCGTTCACCCTTTTCATCGATTTACGAAAATATTTAACGTTATCCTAATTTGCTGTTAAAAATAACACCATCTATATTTATAGCACAAGTAAAAATACATTTTTTCCCGTCTATTCAAGGAAAGGTGAAATCAGGACTAGCAGAGCCATCTATGGACAGAGATATTTCACAAAAATATAAAAAATGAGTACTGCATTTCCCCATTTTTT